GGGCCCGCTGTTGTTTGTTTGTTTCATAAATGACATCCTGAAGTTGTACTCTCCTCCATACAAATGTTTGCCGATGACGCCAAGTTATTTCGGGAAATTAAGAACCAAGCGGACTGTGAAGAGCTGCAGAAGGACCTCTGTGGGCTCCAGGAATGGTCGAAGAAATGGCTGCTGAGATTCAATGTCACGAAGTGTAAGAGGATGCACCTGGGGCGTACCAACGTTAAGGAGGCGTATCATATGTCCCAACGGGATGAAGAAACTGCACTAGTTGAGACTGTGTGTGAGAAGGACCTAGGTGTGTATGTTGACAATGAGCTGAAGTTCTCGGGCCATTGCGAGAAGTAGGTAAATCAGGCAAATAAATTATTGGGTCTTTTAAGAAGGTCGTTCAGATATCTAGACGGTCCGTCCTTCGTAACGATCTTCAGGAGTGAAGTGCTTCCCATCTGGAGTACTGTCACCCCATCTGGTCCCCGAGATATGATAGGGACTGTCAGTTGGTTGCCACCAGACTGGTGCCTGCACTTCGGCACCTCAGCTACCCTGAGAGATTGGAGCGCCTGAACTTGCCTAGCTTATACTACAGACGGGCAAGGGGGGACCTAGTTGAGGTGTATAAGCATCTCAGGGGGCACTACTCAGTTGAGTGTCCTTACTTGGAACTGGCGGACGCTCGCCCCACAAGGGGTCACAGCTCAAGATTGAAGAAGCCGTAAGTCCAGAAAACCGTGAGGGCAAACTTTTTCGGAGTGAGGGTTGTAAACTCTTGGAACAATCTACCAGAGAGTGTTGTGACGGCACCGAGTGTGAGCTCTTTCAAGACAAGACTTGACCAACACTGGAGCGGGTTCAGGTACATTCAGGAGCCGGTGCATGCCCAGTATTTGTCAATAGTGCGTGACAGAGACGTGACCGATCGCCCGGGCTGCTAGCGAGCCGATCTTTTGGTGAAGAAGATAAATGAAAATAGACGTGACCGATCGCCCAAGCGGCTAACAAGCCGATCAGTAGCGAAGAGGATAAAAGAAAAAGAGTGTGAAGTGAATCCTTTTGCTGCCTTTCGATGAGTGTGAAGTTAATCCTTTCGCTGCCTTTCTGTGAGTGCTAAGTTAATCCCTTTGCTGTCTTTCGATGAGTGTGAAGTTAATCCTTTTGCTGCCTTACTGTGAGTGTGAAGTTAATCCCTTTGCTGTCTTTCTGTGAGTGTGAAGTTAATATTTTTTGCTGTCTTTCTGTGAGTGTGAAGTTAATCCTTTTGCTGCCTTTCTGTGAGTGCTAAGTTAATCCTTTTGCTGCCTTTCTGTGAGTGCTAAGTTAATCCCTTTGCTGTCTTTCTGTGAGTGTGAAGTTAATCCTTTTGCTGTCTTCCTGTGAGTGTGAAGTTAATCCTTTTGCTGTCTTCCTGTGAGTGTGAAGTTAATCCTTTTGCTGCCTTTCTGTGGAAGTGCTAAAGTTAATCCTTTGCTGCCTTTCTGTAGAGTGCTAAGTTAATCTTTTACTGTCACTTTCTGTGAGTGTAGAAGTCCAATCCTTTTGCTGTCTTCCTGTGAGTGTGAAAGTTAATCCTTTGCTGCCCTTTCTGTGAGTGTGAAATTAATCTTTGCTGTCTTCTAGAGTGTGAAAGTTAATCCTTTTGCTGCCTTTCTGTGAGTGTAAGAAATTTAATCCCCTTTGCTGCAGTGTTAATCCTACTATTTGGTGTAAGTTCATCTCTTTTTACTGTCTTTCTGTGAGTGTGAAGTTAATCCTTTGCTGCCTTTTCTGTGAGTGTGAAGTTAATCCTTTTGCTGCCTTTCTGTGAGTGTGAAGTTAATCCTTTGCCTGCTCATTAATCACTGGTGCAATTAATGTACACTGCTGTGAGTGTGAAGTTAATCCTTTGGCTGCCTTTCTGTGAGTGTGAAGTTAATCTTTTTGCTGCCTTTCTGTGAGTGTGAAGTTAATCTTTTGGCTGTCTTTCTGTGAGTGTGAATTTAATCCTTTTGCTGCCTTTCTGTGAGTGTGAAGTTAATCCTTTTGCTGTCTTTCTGTGAGTGTGAAGTTAATCTTTTTGCTGTCTTTCTGTGAGTGTGAAGTTAATCATTTTGCTGCCTTTCTGTGAGTGTGAAGTTAATCCTTTTGCTGTCTTTCTGTGAGTGTGAAGTTAATCCTTTTGCTGCCTTTCTGTGAGTGTGAAGTTAATCCTTTTGCTGCCTTTCTGTGAGTGTGAAGTTAATCCTTTTGCTGTCTTTCTGTGAGTGTGAAGTTAATCTTTTTGCTGCCTTTCTGTGAGTGTGAAGTTAATCCTTTTGCTGCCTTTCTGTGAGTGTGAAGTTAATCCTTTTGCTGTCTTTCTGTGAGTGTGAAGTTAATCCTTTTGCTGTCTTTCTGTGAGTGTGAGAGATTAATCCTTTTTTACATCTTTCTGCTGGGTGTAGAAGTTCATCCTTTTGCTGCTTTCTGTGAGTGTAAGTTAATCCTTTGCTGTCTTTCTGTGAGTGTGAAGTTAATCCCTTTGCTTCTGTCTTTCTGTGAGTGTGAAGTTAATCCCTTGGCTGCCTTTCTGTGAGTGTGAAGTTAATCCTTTTGCTGTCTTTCTGTGAGTGTGAAGTTAATCCTTTTGCTGCCTTTCTGTGAGTGTGAAGTTAATCCTTTGGCTGCCTTTCTGTGAGTGTGAAGTTAATCATTTTGCTGCCTTTCTGTGAGTGTGAAGTTAATCTTTTTGCTGCCTTTCTGTGAGTGTGAAGTTAATCCTTTGGCTGCATTTCTGTGAGTGTGAAGTTAATCCTTTGGCTGCCTTTCTGTGAGTGTGAAGTTAATCTTTTTGCTGCCTTTCTGTGAGTGTGAAGTTAATCTTTTGGCTGTCTTTCTGTGAGTGTGAATTTAATCCTTTTGCTGCCTTTCTGTGAGTGTGAAGTTAATCCTTTTGCTGTCTTTCTGTGAGTGTGAAGTTAATCTTTTTGCTGTCTTTCTGTGAGTGTGAAGTTAATCATTTTGCTGCCTTTCTGTGAGTGTGAAGTTAATCCTTTGCTGTCTTTCTGTGAATGTGAAGTTAATCCTTTGCTGCCTTTCTGTGATTGTGAAGTTAATCCTTTTGCTGTCTTTCTGTGAGTGTGAAGTTAATCCTTTTGCTGCCTTTCTGTGAGAGTGAAGTTAATCCTTTTGCTGCCTTTCTGTGAGTGTGAAGTTAATCCTTTTGCTGTCTTTCTGAGTGTGAAGTTAATCCTTTGCTGCCTTTCTGTGAGTGTGAAGTTAATCCTTTTGCTGTCTTTCTGTGAGTGTGAAGTTAATCCCTTTGCTGTCTTTCTGTGAGTGTGAAGTTAATCCTTTTGCTGCCTTTCTGTGAGTGTGAAGTTAATCCTTTTTGCTGCCTTTCTGTGAGTGTGAAGTTAATCCTTTTGCTGCCTTTCTGTGAGTGTGAAGTTAATCCTTTTGCTGTCTTTCTGTGAGTGTGAAGTTAATCCTTTTGCTGCCTTTCTGTGAGTGTGAAGTTAATCCTTTTGCTGTCTTTCTGTGAGTGTGAAGTTAATCCTTTTGCTGTCTTTCTGTGAGTGTGAAGTTAATCCTTTTGCTGCCTTTCTGTGAGTGTGAAGTTAATCCTTTTGCTGTCTTTCTGTGAGTGTGAAGTTAATCCTTTTGCTGCCTTTCTGTGAGTGTGAAGTTAATCCTTTTGCTGTCTTTCTGTGAGTGTGAAGTTAATCCTTTTGCTGTCTTTCTGTGAGTGTGAAGTTAATCCTTTTGCTGCCTTTCTGTGAGTGCTAAGTTAATCCTTTTGCTGCCTTTCTGTGAGTGTGGTTCTTTTTTTAATTTAGAAACAAAATGGTTTAGTTTTATAATTCCACATGTTTCATTCTCCGTTAAGGTAATTTGGTGTTCTAATAGCGCGCGGTCTTCAAGATATTTAGGTTAAGTTAGCTTAGGTTAGGTTAAGTTAAACAAGTTAGGTTAGATTAGGTTAGGTCAGTTTAGGCTAGACTGGAGATATCTTTGTAGACCGCACGCTATAGTAGCACCAGTAATTTTCCATTTTCTCACATTTTTACAATAAAGTATTTTCACATACTTTATAAGCAAGTGAGTGTTTAAATGCCATCCTTTTATTTGAAGATGTATACTGTATTTTATAAGTTGGAATTCTCTAATCATTATTATTTCATTTGTTTCTCAGACAAACAAACTTATACACGTTTTAATTTTACAGTTATTTATCTTGTTGTGTTTTAAAAGTTGGTGGATTACTGTAATTACTAACCCATTGACGCGCTGAAAGACCTAAGTTGTTGAAACTTAACACCAATTTTACAGCTACTTTATGAAACAAAACATGTTAATATTTTAAAGCTTACAGCATGCACAATAATTTAAACAAAGAAAAATTGCCGAACTAAGTTGTTTATGGAACGTTTAAGTAACATCGAAGTTTTGAAAAGAATAACACCTGTACTTCATGATATTTAAATAATTTTCGAACACTATGAAGATGAGTAATACTGTACATGGTTAACTTACATTAAAATTAGATAAATATAACTAACCAGTTATCATATACTTAATTTAATTGAAGAAGTATGGTGTCATCAAAAGTATAAAGATATGGTTTTTTTCACAGCAACTCATCACAGGAAGGAGAAACAACGTTGATACTCCACTACTGCAACTAATATTCTGGGAACTCAAGTAAGTGACGTAATTAAGGAGTATCATAGCTCACACTCATGACTTGACCAAGGAGGTTCAAGGTAAGGAGTACTGTCAGGAGAGCAGCTCATAGGATACCGGGCTCATTCCTTTACCAGTCTGACTTTGATCTTCCTTGGTTAGTCTTCACCATCACAACACTGCGCGGAGGAACACTTAAAGTAGTCCCAGATAAAACGTAATAATATTCTTACTAAGGTACGTAAGATCTAATATTCTGTTTAAATTAGTAAATAAAATTAATAAAGAGATATATATGATCGAATTATATTTTGCTGAGAATGAAATATGTGAAAAGAAAATATAATTGTTAGGGGAGGGCGGAGGAGGAAATGGGCGAAAGGTTGTTGTGTGGTTGATCCTAAGGGGTGGAACGTCATTGTTGATATTTTGTGCGTTTGGGCATTTAGTTTTCGTTTTAAGTCTTCATTAACACTCATTTGTACAGGTAAGGATAAAAAACTGTACATTCTATATTTGAGCTGACTGAAAATTGGTTTAAAATGTGTTTAGAGATAGGAAAAGTGCTTGTAAACATTTTGTTATGTGTCTTCCGCCCGCCCGTCACTTCAAGACCAGCTGATCAGAGGGCAGGGTTGAGGGCTGGGTTTAATTCCCCATGTAATATAGTCATTTGATTATCCCGTTGTCTATTTACAGCAGTATGTATAGTGTATTAACATCCGAACAGCATATGGTTTAAAGTAATTGGTATATTCACTTGACGTCATCACTAATAGACTATGGAGATGTATTCTACCAACTCGAGTTTCTCTTTATTTTGCTTTATAGGACTACGGTAATGTGGATTATGATGGAGAATATAACGTTCTTTTGGATGTTACATGTTTCAGGGAATATATTGTAAACTTTTACTAAATAATTATGCGTTATCTAGTAAGTTATGCTGGCATTTATATATAGTGTAATTGAAACCATTAGTAAGGTTAAGAATCTGGGTAAGTGATTGTTTTCATGTGATTATGTTTCGTACATGCAGTAAAGTTTAATATTAATGAGTTTGGAAATAAATAATGATTGTATCTGAGAGTTAAGGAACTTCAGTGTTTTCACCAGTCATGGTATTTTTGTAGTGCAACAACTCAATGTTTTTTTTACCTTTGTTTTGTAAAACCTACCAAAATGTGAGTTTAGGTTGTGCTAAAAATAAATTAAAATATGACAATGGTTAGATATCTGGAATTCTGAACTAGTATGGAGTTGTATTTTTTTTGGGGGGGGGGGGAATTCAAGACCGAGACGGATTTAGTTAGGGCTGTTACGTTGGTATTGTGAAATACAGTAGATGGTGATTTTATTGTTTTGATGGAATTCTGGGAGTGTACTGAACTGGATATTTTCCCATTGCTTTAAAATCATGAAACCATATCAAAATAATTAAACTTATTTCTGTATGCAGTATAGAATCAACATGTGTTCATATAAGTCACAGTGCAACATACATTATGCAGTAATTTAGATACATTTGGACTTCACGAACTGCACCTTGTGCATTGTAGAATACAAGTAATGATGGTCATGTCACTTTTGTTTTGTTTGTTTTTTCATTCACAATATACAGTACAGTAATAATGTCTTGGTTGGAAATACATTACTGTGTATTGTGTGGGCTCTTAATGTGCGTGTTATACTGTTTTCAATATTTTAAATATTTTTATAACAATTCAAAGTACAGTAGTTGACAGAAGTAATGGTACTTTGGGATTAAATTTGTTTTCAGTACTTCTTCCTTGGAAAAAAATTCCATCATCAACTTTAGTGTGTGTGTGTGTGTGTAGTAATAATAATAATAATATTAATAATAATAATAATAATAATAATAATTAACGGTTTATTGAAAGAGCATGGCAGCCGGAAGGCTGAAAATATACAATTACATAATTGGGGAATGGGTCTCTTGATTTACAAATGATATACAAGTACATAAGTGATACAAATATGATATATAATAATTAGGTGTTGATAATTTTTACAATGGTTGGGACTGGGCTGTTCTTATAGCAATTATTTCGTGTTCGTATGGGCTGGATGCGGTTGGGCAGGTGTGTGGCCACATGGCCAGGACAGTAGCTTGGGGCAATGCAGGTGTGCTCCATCCTTCAGGTTAGGTCTGGTGAAGCCGTGAGGTCAGGTCAGGTTAGGTCAGATCCAGCCACACTCAGTACTGCTGTGTTTTTGTGCTTTTCCTTGGAGTGCATTATAGGAACACTGTTTGGTAGTCAATCGTTCACTGATCACTTGAATGTTTTGCTGAATAAATCCTGGTGTAGTAAGGCTGGTAGGGCGTTGGGATATAGCAGGGGGAGGGGGGGTGGCCAAACAGACTCGGCCTGGCTGCTCAAACTGGGAGCGCCTTCAGGGCACGTCTTGTCTCGCTGGTGGTTGACAAGTGTGTGTGTGTGTGTGTGTGTGCTGTATCCTGATGTTAACCCCTTGTACACAGGGTCCGCTCTCAGCTGAATAGCACCATCTGGCGTTATCCACATAGAATATTAAAAGTGACGTCCTCGTAGTGAAAGGGTTAAGAAAAAGGCAGTGGCTAAATTACTGGTCATGGTAAAATAATCTGAGTCTAAATTAGCAGTCACGGTAATAGCTGACAGGCTGGTTTGAGCTATTTGGTACATAAATATCATAAGTTATGTGTTTTTTTGCATATTACAACAAATATTACTACTGTACAATATATCATTACTGTACTTCTATTACATAAACAATGATCCAGCAAATAGCCTAAGACAGCCTGTCAGCTGTTGCTGTGACGGGTTATTTAGCCTAACTGTAGAAGTAAAGGGATGCCACCCATTGCATTTAGCCAAAGCTTCCTCTTAATACCTTGTTTTATTTGTTTCTAATTATTTTTGAATGGAAGTGTGGTGGTTGAGTGCCTATAGTTCTCACTCCTTGTCCAATGGGTTGGTGGTTTGATCCCCGGGCACTCTCAGTCTACTTAGCTGTGAATGGGTTAAGGAAGTGAAAGCAGTGGAGTGCAGTATTGACCACACTGCCTCCATGCATACCAAAGGCATAGTATAAACTGCTGTATCCACACTGTCACTAATGGCCAGTTGTGCCCATGGGATCCACTTACACCTTTTCAATTGTTTTTAAATATTGTGAACATTTAACAACTTTTTAAGATCAAATATATATTTTTTGATGTTACCATAACTTATTATCTTGGGAGGAGTGGGAAATTTAAGACTGACACATCACTAAGGTGAAGCCGACTTTAAGTATAATCTGCATTGCATTTGTTTTTAATTATATTTTCTTTACAATATTATGGTTTGTCTTTTATGGGTAGTGGGCCTCATTTTTTTTCCCAAGTACTGTACATGTGTTTAGTATCCGGGCTGTACAGTAACAGGAAATTTGAAACTTGTTACTGAAAGGGTTTAGACTATTGACAATTGGTCAAATGCATTGTGATAAATATCAATGGCAGAGTGGCATCATTATTCAGATATTGTGGTTGGATTGGAGGGGCAGTGCTTCACCTCTGTGGCATCTGAAAAAGTTGGGTGCATGTGTATGATGGTGTGGTGTTCAATGTAGGTCTTCTCTGGTTTCCTTTGTTACTGGGTACTTGGGGAAACTTTGATAGTTGGACACAAAGCTCTTTTTCCAAATTTATTTCATAGCATAGTATGACCGTCTTACTTCTAATAATATACAGGATATCTTTTTTCTTCTTCAATTGTATGCATACAGTTGTAAAGAGACCACATTGAGAAAATTTTTCCATTTATGCTCTGTTCCTGTTGATACCCTGATCTTTTTGTAAATTAGTGAAATCCACACTCTTAAGTAGATCCCACATGTATAGTATATGGTGATAGATCCTTTCTTCATAGCCATCTTTATTTTTCCCCCATATGATAGTGTACCTGCAGCCATCTTCCTGCGGATAGCTTGAACATCACATCAACTTTAAACTCTTATCTTACAGCCACCATTCACTGGGAAAATGCATTCTAAACTACAGTACTGTGTACTATTAACCATTTCTTCCAAGTACAGTACAGTAAGATAAATTTAAGCAGTCTCCATATCTATCAACTAATGAATTAGTAAAATAAGTAATCATACTGGTAGTAAAAAAAAACTGCATCACTTTAGCATATTTTCATTGTCATTCTGGGGAAAATTACAAAAAGGGCAAAATTATTTTTTACATCTAAGGATTTTTCGTTTGTATATTGAATCATGGGACAAGATGTAATTTTTCATAAACTGAGCCTTTTTTAATCGTAGACTGCCTGTACAGTACAGTACAGCTGGCGGATTTTTATTTCGCGGTCCTCTATTATTCGCAGATAACACCCTGGATGTACCCAAGAATGTCTGTGGGTACTTTTAAAGTTGCCGGCATTTTCGCTTCTGGGACAGGGAGCCATTAGTTCTAGAGACAGTAATTTCCTTTACCTGTGTTGTAAATATGTGTGTGTGTAGACACGCACACAGAAAACATATACAAATAAATAATAATGGGAAAATACTCTCACAAATAATCAGAAACCAATTATTAAAAATGTGAGTGTACCCTCAAGTCCGTGCTTTATTAATAAAGTAATAAAGCATGGACTTGAGGGTAGGCTGCCACGTTTTTAATAAATTTGTTTCCGATTATTTGTGAGAATATTTTCTCATTATACTGTATTATATATTTATATGTGATTTGTGTGTACACACACACACTCACACATATGCAATACATGTACAAGTAAAAAAAATAATTGCAAATGTTAATTGCGGATTTGGCGATTCACGGCCATTTTGAGAACCTAACCCCCGTGAATTTTAGGGACCCCCTGTACTGTATATGGAATGATTCCGACTCCCACACCACTTGGAGAAATGGAATTTTAATGTAAACGGTTACAAGAGAGGATTGATAAAAGTCTCACAATTATAAACTTTGTAAGGACAGTACAGTAGATGCCTGTACAGGTGTTATTAACCATTCATGTGGTAAAGTTCACTTTTCTCACCCTGAGTTTACTAATTTCTGGTGGTTTCATTTCATCTTTATTGATAAGCTGGTTTATCCATGAAACTTATAAATGAGTGCAGAAAAGAAAAGATTAGCTTAACATATTAAGACGTAAAGCATGAAGAAGTGTAAAGCCTTTATTCTCTAACCAGAGTTGAATACAGGGTACACATTTAACAACTAGCTTGCCTAATAAGTTTTCTGATTTGGGACCCAGGACACTTTAGTGAATAAGGTGAGATGACCTTGAAACTGTGCAGGTAGATACTCCCTGTATGACTTGTGAATTGTGAGTAGTCAGTGTTCTTGTTTGTTCTTAATTAATACAAGTTGCTAATAAACTGTTGTTGTTTATTTCTTACAAATACAGCTATATGTTCTTGTTGGAGTTTCATTGTCGTTATCTCTTGGTATGTTCTGTTAAGAATGCT